ATAAAATTTGTACAAATTTGTTTTCTTCCTTTTCTTCCTTTAATTTCTTTAAATCAAAGCAATACTGTGTTCTATTAATTATGTAACTCACACATAATATACATTATATAGTGTACATAGATATAAATTTAAATCGCAAGCCTAACGTAGCTAACGAATTAATTGACAAACTCTTGGCCATTTTAAAGTCAAATTTTTGTCCTAATAAAAAATTCGAGACATCAAAAGTAATTAAATAAATGTCTTATCTCACATGACGGCCAAAAATGTTAACGAACTGAAATTTTTAAAAATTCAACTTTAATAATGAAAAAATTGGAATATTCTCGAAGAGTGATTAAAGTAATAATTTAAAAATTGAAATAGTTTTTATTTGAGTTTGATTTTTTTTTGTTAATACGAAAGGAAGATTGTGCTATAAAACAAAGAGAAACTTGTAGACCGAAAAAGATAAATAATTTCATAATTTATAATAAAATATAAAGATATATAATCATTTAAAAAATCATTTTAATGTGAACTGAGAAATCACAGTTATATTCTCAGATCTTTAAATCAATCCATTGTATGTAAATACAAGACAAATATGTGTTAAGAAGTTCGTTAGAATGCAAGAATGCAATCAATCAATTTATTGTACTAATTTAATAATTATACATTGTGATATAGAAAAATCACAAATGTCCTTTTCTATCGTTAATATTGAATGGTAATAAAAATATTTCAAATACTTCAAGAATATATATATATATATATATATATATATATATATATATATATACATATAATGATTAAAATAATTATAAACATATATATATATATATATATATATATATATATAACATATTAATTCATTAAATCAAAGTAATAAGAAAATGATTATTCTAAAATATCGGTGATATTTTTATATGTAATATTTAATATTTTTAAAATTCAAATTTAATATTTAAAATTTAATTTAATATTTAAAAACTTTTATTTTAAACGGTGAAATGTCAAATTGTTTGAATAATTAAAGTTATTGAATAGAATAATTGACAAGTAGAGTATGATTGATTTTCCAATTACAAGATTGAGAGAATCGCGTATAAAGCTTTTGTATAAAGTACATCTTCTCTTCTTATCAAGATACTTTCGAGAGGAGGTGCCACCAATTATTATCTTACTTATTAGCTAAATAACGTGACCTATATTCGGAATTATTGGCGAAAAAGCTCTGAAATACTCAATACTCTGGGTAATCTTCCTGACATATATCCATTTGTTCGTCTATAAATTCCCCTATTTCACCATCAAACATGTAAAAGAATCTAACGATACTTGCACAATTTTTTTGAAATTACTATCACTTCTTATATTTCATCTCATTGCAGTCATTCGTGCAATCACGTGTTCATTCGTTCATTCGGTATTCATATCCTCGTTCGGGCATTCGCGTAGTTCATTAGTATTAAACTTAGAAAGAAAGTTGGCCTCCAGTGCGGCTCACGAACCACTTTATACTTTTCCTTCGCTTTTAAATCTCTTGTACGACAAGTTTTTCTAATGAGAAGTGATATATTTTAGATTCATTGATTTAAAATCTGATTCTCTTTTTTTTTTCATTTTATGCTTTCCTGACGAATTATATATTACATCATTGCTATTAATAATGTCGTTTTTTTTTTATTAATATCGAATTGTTTTTGAAACGAATTTAGATTTATTTACTAGTGAAAGAGAAATTTATATTCTGTTTTATTATTCATATATTCCTTAAATATTTGCAAGAGAAAAATAAAAATGGAAAAAAGAGTGAAGAAATTCAGATTTTGTTTTAAAATAGTTTTTTATATTCATCAAGATTCTGTTACTTTATTTTAAAAATTAGAAAATTTATTAATCTGATAAATTTTATAAGAAATTTGAAATTTACAATTTGACTACTTTTTCTTCCAATTATCGGAATTTAGAAAATTAAATTAAAACAAATTATATATATATATATATATATATATATATATATATATATTTAATTAATTATACTTTTATATTAACAATTTGTTGATATTTAAAGTGCAAAGAAATAATAGCTCTCTTAAATAATTATTTATTTCGTCAATGAATCAAAAAATTATCATTAAACAAATTTAATAACAATAATAAAGAGATATTCAGAAGGATATTCAGAGGATTTTCACAATAAATTACTTAAATGCTCTGACTATAAATTAATACGACATAACAATGTTTATGGATCATGCAATTATCAAAGATTGAGAATATCATGGAATATTCGAATATTAAGAGCACATATATACTATTAATTTAAAATAAATAAATAAATAATTTTAAATATATACTATTAATTAGATTAGATACTATTAATTGATTTATTATCATGAATGTGAAACTTGTTTACGCAATCCATATAGTACCCTTTTAACGATGTAGAATTTTCAGTTATATAAAGTTGACTAATTTGATCACATTAATCTGATGATAAATAGAGTAAGCGTTCTTGTAATGTAAATACAATGTAAGAAGCTTTTAATTTCTCGCACAATTTTAAGATATATGAATAAGAAGTGTAAGTATGAATAAAGTGTAATCTTGTATGTTAATATCTTATGTTCTGTTTTCTGTTTTATTTTCTAACGCCAATACTTTATATATATATATATATATATATATATATATATATATATAAAGCTTTGTTTTTAAATAAAATATCAGTTTTTATAGTCAAAAAAAGCTTAAAGGATTTCACATATTGATAATTCAATAAAATGATAATTTGTTGATAAATGCATGTTAGATTTATTTCTATGTAGATAAGAAAAAGAAATACACATATATATCATATTTCTTTTTCTTATCTACATAGAAATAAATCAGAACCTTCGACGTGTCATCACATTGTATCTCTTTTATGATCATGTTTTAATACAATAATATAATTTAATATTATTCAAAATGTTTTCTAATAAAAATTTAACTTTAATAATGAATTTAAAATTATATATAATAAATTTAAAAAATTTTTCTTTATTGAAATTTTAAAGAAATTAAAAATTTTGGAATTATATAAATTTGTCATATTTATAAAAAATTAAAACAACAATTAATTACACCAAAAAACATATTTTCTCTTATGTAATAAATGATTATTAAAGATAATTTTATAGATTTATTATTATGGAATATTTAAATTTGATTCACGATATCTATTTAAAAAAAATTGCGAAATTCTGACGCGATAGACATTGTATAGATTTAGAGTATTTCGATACTTACAACATTAAAATATCTCATTCAAAGCTCGAAAGATTTCAAGTTAATGTATTAGTTAATGTAATATGATGTAAAAAAATCAATATTTTGCTAAAAAAGAAGAACCTCTTCAAAAATCTATGATAATATAATATTGAAATTTTTAATTATTTTTAAAACACGACAATTATATACTAGACATGTCATTTAAAGGATCTCATCCATAATAATCATGATTTCTATTCAGATAGCAAAAATCAATTAAATAATGCAAAATAACATATATTATAATGTATTACACACTATTTTATTAATTCTTTCATTATTAAAATTGAATGGCACACGTCATTTACAACTTTTAATAATTAACGTTGAGCAAGACAACCTTGCCTAATTCTTTTTATGTTACATCAGACAGATAAAGAAAATTAAATTAAAATATCACAATAAATAACAAGGCTTAAAGTGCACATAGAATAGTGCACATGGAATGAATTACATTAAAATGTCCTGATAACCTTTGATATGTCGTCAGATCTTCTTTTCAATACTCTTCAATAATCATATTAGAATTTTAGATAAAACTAACAATATGTCTCTTCCTCTTTCTCTTCTCTTGCCCTTATAAATTATTTATAAAGCTAATAAATATTAAGATCAATATATCAAGATCAATCTCCACAGCTTTTGGTTCTCTGAAGGTATAAAATTTTATTTTTCATCATCTTTTACAATCGGTCGACATTTATTTTTTCACGACTTTCTTAAATTTGTGTTACATACTTATCACATATGTATGTATCTGTATAATATTAGGAATAGAAAGCAAGAAAGTATTTCGCCAAATAAATACAATAGATATCATGTAAAAAGTTTAGGATAAAATTTAGCATAAAGTCCTTTTCTTAGTGTAATGACTATCCAGCATCAAATATATATTTATATCTCCAGACTTGTTAATATTTAAATATATGAGCTTTTCATTCTTTTATTATCAATTATGAAATGCATTAAGTAATAAAAAAAATATAATCAAATAATATGTTTAATTACTTTTATCTTAAAGTTGAAATCTAATAACATCCATACTTTTCGCATTATGTAATCTTCGTCTGATAGACAATAGCACAAATGTATTTTCTAATATACAGTGTTGAATTAAAATTAGTAATTTTAATTATGCCTCTGTTTATATGCGTGCGGCATTATCTAATAGCTAATATAGTTTTCTAGATCTGAAAGACAAAAGCAGTATATGTTATCGCTATTCATACTTAAATAATCTCTTCTCAATCGTCTCTTTCTCACAAAAATTTCAAAATTTGAACACAAAATATGAAAAATATTTAATATCGTATCTTTATTTATTTAAATTCTTTTCTCTATGCTTTGCAGGAAAAACATGACAAAAATCGACATTGTCACTTCGAAAAAGTGGGCCTTTCGTTTCATGCATTGAGCGCATAGCTCGCAATTAGTGTGATGCGCGCATTAATATCGTTCTGATTCTATTAATGCGCAAATATAGTCTTGGAAACGGAATGACTTTTGCGTTTAATGTGAAACAGTACGACTGCTATCGAAATAAATGACGCAAACATGTATCACACGTGTGTTTACACAAGATTGTTGATTCCCTCCACGTGCCGCATTAATTTTTTCGGATCCAACCTGTAATAACTGATGCATTGTTAATGCGCTGGAAGTGGGGATTCTAAGAAATTCTATGCGCTATAAATCCGTACATTAAGTGAAACGAAATAGTTTTATCTGCCGCTTATCTGTTTCATGCGTGAAACGGAAGGCACCCAAAATACAAGAACGTCAGACGTGCACATTCAAATAGATGTAAACGTCACTTTAATTAAGTGATCAGCATTATTACTTTAACGAGATCAAAAACAATCAGTATTGTTACTTTGACAAAATACATCAAGAATATCAGACGTGCATTCTCTAATGTAAGTAATTACATATTAATCACATTTTTATTTTCTAGATTCATTATTATAAAATACTTAAATTTCATAATTATTATATATTTAGTTTGGAAGATGAACAAATTTCAACGTGATCTAGGTATTGCGCTAATACTTTATTTCGGATTAATTACAACATTAGGAACATGTATTCCACAATCTCAAGGCACGAAGTTACGATTAGTGAGCGCGGTATGATGTGAAAACTAATGTTCTGCAAAAAAGATTTCTCCTAAAATACTCAAGATCAATGTAATGTTGAAATTTTCAGATATTCAGACATGGCGATCGTACAGTAGAGCCTAACATTGGTGAATCTTATCCAAATGATCCATATAAAGATTATAATTACTATCCAGATGGCAATGGTCAATTAACTAATGTAAGATATATTTTACTTATATATTACATAACATATTATATTTCATTTTTAATCTTTATATTGTTAGTAAACATACAAATTTACATATACATAGCTACATATTTAAAATTTTCAAAAAACAATTACCATTAAAACAATTTTGGATATGAATTTTCATTAATGTAATGCGTCTAAATAAACATATCTGTAACAATGAAAAGAGCGATCCGTTTTTGTTCACGTGGAAGATATTATTGCTTTCTACATATTCTTAAATCTTCGATTCTCCGAAAAAGAAATTAACAGTAAATTACATCTTATTTTTTCTTATTTATTAATAATGTTATTTAATAATGTTATTAAGGACGGCAAGAAGAGAGCATATAAATTAGGATTAACATTAAGAAATAGATACGACAGATTTCTCGGAAATATATACTATCAGCCAAATATCTACGCACAGAGCATGTTTTCCGTTAGGACTAAGATGAGTTTACAGGTAGTTCTCGCGGCACTTTATCCACCTGCTGCTCTACAAAAGTGGAATCCGCTGCTTCTTTGGCAACCAGTGGATTTCACGTACATTAATGTAACTCACGATGAGCTATTGTTTCCATATGTATGCCCTGTGTAAGTAATTATTTTTTCTTCATCAATTAATAACAATAAATCGTATATATATCTCAGATAACATAATCTCAGACAACATGTTTAATTATATTAATGTGTAAGAATTATAACAAATTAATAATGAAACTATACATATAAATCAAACATAATTAATAGAAAATAAATAAACATGTATAATAATTCTTTTCTCTTCTCTTATCAAAACATTTTAAACGTTTATATTTTAGTTTAAACGTTTATATTTACAATTGTTTACATTTACAATTATATAGATATTACATATGGGATAATTATTTCAATTCAATCATAGCAATTAAGATTTTGTGGTGTAATGTTCTAAAAAAATTATATAAATGTTATATTTATATATAAAGATTATGTTACATAAATTTTATCACATAAATAATATTATAATTATTTAATTATTTCTCTGCTTGAAATTATTTCCTCCAAACTATTTCAAGTATTTTAAACTATTTGCGCATTTCTTTTTAGATATCTCCAACTTTATAATGACATGTTACAAAATAATGTAGCAATAAAAAAAGAAGTAGCAGGACTTGCTGATATAATGAAAAAAGCATCATTCTATACAGGAAAAAATATAACGAGAATCATTGATCTCTTTTATATATATCATACTTTGGCTGTACAAGCAGCTTTTGGACTACGTTTACCAAAGTGGACGCAAAGCTTAGTTCCAAATGGCGCACTTATGGCTGCCACTCTTTCACAATATAAAGTACTTAGTTACGGCATACTAAATAAAATTAATGGAGGTATGCTTGAATCAAAAACCTATATTTTACTTATAAATTACTTATTACGTTTTGAAGTTTAATCTTTGATTAAATATTATATATCTTGGTTACTTATAGCATTCGTCTATAAATTTACTTGTTCTATTTTTTCAAATTTCTCTAGAATGAATATAAAAATAATAAAAATAATTTTAATGTTATAAATCTTTAAAAAAAGTTATCTTTATTATGTTTTAAATATGTTTTACATATACGACATATATTGTCTTTGTAAATAAAAGTATTCTAAATTACCATTTTAGATTTCTATAATACCGGTAATTGCCAAATGAATTCTGATTGAGAAAAAATTGAATTTATTATTTTATAAATTATTTTATTGAGTAAAAGATTGGTGCACATCTTGATCGTATGTTATCTATAATAATATAAAGCGTTCATATACGTTGACAAAAATCGTACTTATGTGCGTCTATGTGTGCGTTATATATTTTTTAAACTATTCGATTTTTTTACAGGTTCATTATTACGCAAAATAATTAACGATATGAATGCAATGATCAATGGAACTTTAAAAGATCGAAAGCTCAATCTCTTTTCTGGACATGATCTTAATGTGGCCGGAATAATGTACGCTTTAAATATATTCGATGAGCAAGTTCTACGGTATACGAGCAGTATTATGATAGAATTGCATGAAAAGAATGGCAAATTTTTTGTTAAAGTAAGTGTCTAATTTCTCGTGAGCTAGTAATACGTGCCTGCCAGTAGCGTGTGACAATACAAATAATGTTTATCATTAACGCCTAACAACTAATAAATGAAACTTATTTCTTGTAGGTGGTCCATTATTTAAGTATTCCATCAAGAATAATAGAAAAATGCATTCCCGGCTGCGAAATATTATGCCCATACAATAAATTCATTCAATTAACATTGGCAGTAACTGTGACGAATGAAGAAATGAAATGCTCATAGTGAAATGCTCTACACATAGAATAGTGCACAGAATAAATTACATTGCGATGTCCTGATATGTCATTAGCTCTTACTTATTTTTATTCAATATTCTACAATAATTATATTAGAATTTTATATAAAACTAGCAATATGTCTCCTTCTCTCTCTTTTTCTTCTTTAGTCTTACCTATAAATTATTTATAAAACTAATAAATATTAAAATCAATATATCAAGATCAAAGTCTCCATAGTTTTTGGTTCTCTGAAGATATAAAATTTTATTTTTTATCATCTTTTACAATCGACCAGCACTTACTTTTCGATACCTCTTTCGCATTTTTATGTATCTATATAATATTACGAATGAAAACAAGAAAATATTGAGCTAAATAAATGTAATAGATATCATGCAAAAAGTTTAGGATAAAATTTAGCATAAAGTAATCCTTTTCTTAGTGTAATGACTATCCAGCACCAAATATATATTTATATCTCCAGACTTGTTAATTTATAATATTTAAATATATGAGCTTTTCATTCTTTTATTATCAATTATGAAATGCATTAAGTAATAAAAAAAATATAATCAAATAATATGTTTAATTATTTTTCTCTTAAAGTCGAAATCTAATAACATCCGTACTTTTCGCATTATGTAATCTTCGTCTGATAGACAATAGCACAAATGTATTTTCTAACATACCAGTGTTGAATTAAAATTAGTAATTTTAATTATGCCTCTATTTATATGCGTGCGGCATTATCTAATAGCTAATATAGTTTTCTAGATCTGAAAGACAAAAGCAGTATATGTTATCGCTATTCATACTTAAATAATCTCTTCTCAATCGTCTCTTTCTCACAAAAATTTCAAAATTTGAACAAAATATGAAAAATATTTAATATCGTATCTTTATTTATTTAAATTCTTTTCTCTATGCTTTGCAGGAAAAACATGACAAAAATCGACATTGTCACTTCGAAAAAGGGTGCCTTCCGTTTCATGCATTGAGCGCATAGCTCGCAATTAGTGTGATGCGCGCATTAATATCGTTCTGATTCTATTTAATGCGCAAATATAGTCTTAGAAACGGAATGACTTTTGATGCGTTTAATGTGAAACAGTCCGGATGCTATCGAAATAAATGACGCAAACATGTATCACACGTGTGTTTACATAAGATTATTGATTCCCTCCACGTGCCGCATTAATTTTTTCCAACCTGTAATAGCTGATGCATTGTTAATGCGCTGGAAGTGGGGATTCTAAGAAATTCTATGCGCTATAAATCCGTACATTAAGTGAAACGATAGTTTTATCTGCCGCTTATCTGTTTCATGCGTGAAATGGAAGGCATCCAAAATACAAGAACGTCAGACGTGCACATTCAAATAGATGTAAACGTCACTTTAATTAAGTGATCAGCATTATTTCTTTAACGAGATCAAAAACAATCAGTATTGTCACAAAATACATCAAGAATATCAGACGTGTATTCTCTAATGTAAGTAATTACATATTAATCACATTTTTATTTTCTAGATTCATTATTATAAAATACTTAAATTTCATAATTATTATATATTTAGTTTGGAAGATGAACAAATTTCAACGTGATCTAGGTATTGCGCTAATACTTTATTTCGGATTAATTACAACATTAGGAACATGTATTCCACAATCTCAAGGCACGAAGTTACGATTAGTGAGCGCGGTATGATGTGAAAACTAATGTTCTGCAAAAAAGATTTCTCCTAAAATACTCAAGATCAATGTAATGTTGAAATTTTCAGATATTCAGACATGGGGATCGTACAGTAGGCGCTGATGAATCTTATCCAAATGACCCACATAAAGATTATGACTACTACCCGGTTGGCTATGGTCAATTAACTAATGTAGGATGTATTTTACTTATATATTACATAATATATTTTACACTACATTTTTTATCTTTTCATTGTTAGTAAATATGTTACATATTTAAAAAAACAATAATTACGGTTAAGACAATTTTGGACAAGATTCTTCACCAAGATAGTGCGGCTAAATAAACATATCTGTAACAATGAAAAGGTTGATCTTTCTTTTATTTCTTTTTGTTCACGTGGAAGATATTATTGTTTTCTATATATTCTTAAATCTTCGTTTCTCTGAAAAAAAAAAATTAACACTAAAATTACATCTTACTTTTTTCTTATTGTTTATTTATTAATAATGTTATTAAGGACGGCAAGAAGAGAGCATATAAATTAGGATTAACATTAAGAAATAGATACGACAGTTTTCTCGGAAATATATACTATTAGCCAAATATCTACGCACAGAGCACGTTTTCCGTTAGGGCTAAGATGAGTTTACAGGTAGTTTTCGCAGCACTTTATCCATCTGCTGCTCTACAAGAATGGAATCCGCTGCTTCTTTGGCAACCAGTGGATTTCACGTACACTAATATAACTCACGATGAGCTATTGTTTCCATATGTATGCCCTGTGTAAGTAATTACTTTTTCTTCATCAATTAATAACAATAAATCGTATATACATATATCTTAGATAACATAATCTCAGACAACATGTTTAATTATATTAATGTGTAAGAATTATAACAAATTAATAATGAAACTATACATATAAATCAAACATAATTAATAGAAAATAAATAAACATGTATAATAATTCTCTTCTCTTCTCTTATCGAAACATTTTAAACGTTTATATTTTAGTACAATTGTATAGATATTACATATGGGATAATTATTTCAATTCAATCATAGCAATTAAGATTTTGCGGTGTTATGTTCTAAAAAAATTATATAAATGTTATATTTATATATAAAGATTATGTTACATAAACTTTATCACATAAATAGTATTATAATTATTTAATTATTTCTCTGCTTGAAATTATTTCCTCCAAACTATTTCAAGTATTTTAAACTATTTGCGCATTTCTTTTTAGATATCTCCAACTTTATAATGACATGTTACAAAATAATGTAGCAATAAAAAAAAAAGTAACAAAATTTGCTGATATAATGAAAAAAGTATCATACTATACAGGAAAAAATATAACGAGAATCTTTGATCTCTTTCAAATATATCATATTTTGGCTGTACAAGCAGCTTTTGGACTACGTTTACCAAAGTGGACGCAAAGCTTATTTCCAAATGGCGCACTTATGAATGCCACTGTTTTACAATATGATCTATTTAGTTACGGCATACTAAAAACACTCAATGGAGGTATGCTTGAATCAAAAACCTATATTCTACTTATAAATTACTTATTACGTTTTGAAGTTTAATCTTTGATTAAATATCTTGGTTACTTATAGCATTCGTCTATAAATTTACTTGTTCTATTTTTTCAAATTTCTCTAGAATGAATATAAAAATAATAAAAATAATTTTAATGTTATAAATCTTTAAAAAAAGTTATCTTTATTATGTTTTAAATATGTTTTACATATGCGACATATATTGTAAATAAAAGTATTCTGAATTACCATTTTAGCTTTCTAGAATACCGGTAATTACTAAATGAATTCTGATTGAAAAAAAAAATTGAATTTATTATTTTATAAATTATTTTATTGTGTAAAAGATTGGTGCACATCTTGATCGTATGTTATCTATAATAATATAAAGCGTTCATATACGTTGATAAAAATCATACTTATGTGCGTCTATGTATGCGTTATATATTTTTAAATTTTTTAAACTATTCAATTTTTTTACAGGTCCATTATTACGCAAAATAATTAACGATATGAATGCAATGATCAATGGAACTTTAAAAGATCGAAAGCTCAATCTTTTTTCTGGACATGATATTAATGTGGCCGGAATAATGTACGCTTTAAATATATTCGATGAGCAAGTTGTACGGTATACGAGCAGTATTATGATAGAATTGCATGAAAAGAATAGCGAATTTTTTGTTAAAGTAAGTGTCTAATTTCTCGTGAGCTAGTAATACGTGCCTGCCAGTAGCGTGTGACAATACAAATAATGTTTATCATTAACGCCTAACAACTGATAAATGAAACTTATTTCTTGTAGGTAGTCCATTATTTAGGCATTCCATCAACAATAATAGAAAAATGCATCCCCGGCTGCAAAATATTATGCCCATACAATAAATTCATTCAATTAACATCGGCAGTAACTGCGACGAACGAAGAATTGAAATGCTCATAGTACACATAGAATAGTGCACAGAATAAATTACATTGCGATGTCCTGATATGTCATTAGCTCTTACTTATTTTTATTCAATATTATACAATAATTATATTAGAATTTTATATAAAACTAACAATGTCTATTCCTCTCTCTCTTTTCTTCTCTTACCTGTAAATTATTTATAAAACTAATAAATATTAAAATCAATTTATCAAGATCAAAGTCTCCACAGTTTTTGGTTCTCTAAAGATATAAAATTTTATTTTTCATCATCTTTTACAATCGACCAGCACTTACTTTTCGATACCTCTTTCGCATTTTTATGTGTCTATATAATATTACGAATGAAAACAAGAAAATATTGTGCTAAATAAATGTAATAGAGATGCAAAAAGTTTAGAATAAAATTTAGCACAAAGTAATCCTTTTCTTAGTGTATTGACAAATTCAGCATCAAATATATATTTATATCTCTAGACTTGTTAGTTTATAATATTTCAATATATGAGCTTTTTATTCGGTTATGAAATGCATTAAGTAACAATAAAAAATATAATCAAATAATATGTTTAATTACTTTTTCCTTCAGATCGAAATCTAATAATATCCGTGCTTTTCACATCGCGTATCATCGTCTAATGGCATAAATATATTTTCTAATATACCAGAGTTGCACTAAAATTAATAATTTTAATTATGCTAGCTTCTGTCTGTATGTGAACGGCATCATTTATCTGACATCTTAATACAGATTTCCAGATATGAAAAACAAAGCAGTATATGTTATCGCTATGCAAAAGATTGTAAAAAGATTGTGCAAAAGATCTCTTATCAATCTTCTTCTCGCTAAATGTAAAAATTGTTCTTACTTTTTTTTTACTATCTTTTTTTATTTTCTTTATCATTTCTTCTACAATTTTATATTGTATGCTAAATTTTATATGTATAATTTCTTAGCATAAAATATAAAATAATAGAAGAAATAATAAAGAAAATAATAAATGATATATAATATAAATGATATATAATATAAACAGTATATATATATATATATATATATATATATATATATAATATACTGTTTATATTATATATTATTTATATTATATATCATTTATTATTTTCTTTATTATTTCTTCTATTATTTTATATTTTATGCTAAGAAATTATACATATAAAATTTAGCATACAATATAAAATTGTAGAAGAAATGATAAAGAAAATAAAAAAAGATAGTAAAAAAAAAAGTAAGAACAATTTTTACATTTAGCGAGAAGAAGATTGATAAGAGATCTTTTGCACAATCTTTTATATTTTATGCTAAGAAATTATACATATAAAATTTAGCATACAATATAAAATTGTAGAAGAAATGATAAAGAAAATAAAAAAAATAGTAAAAAAAAAGTAAGAACAATTTTTACAAAAAAATATATATATATATATATTTTTTTTTGTAATAAGTTTTCCTATGTAAGAGATAAAAATATGTAATACTATTTTATAATCAAATTTGATTTATAAATCAAAATATTTGTACATAAGTGATCATTTTTTAGTCACTTAACATAAAATAAAATTTATGTTTACGTGACATTTTTCTGAAAAATATGTTTGTATATGCACATATCCAATATTTATCACAATTCTTATACATAATTAAAAACGACGACAAAAAGAAATACATATCATCATCATCATCAAGATATATACATATATATATATAAATTCCATGTATCATATATATAGAATTTAAATTTTAGACTGTTATCTTTTCATTCTTATTCAGTTTCTAACCAATATAAACAACAAAACATATGCAAATAAGATGTATATACTTCTGCATATATTACAATATAATAATAAATAATATATTCGTGACTTCTATTTTATTTCTTAAATGAAAATGTCAGATTACAATAAAAAAATTACGTAGAATTTATTAAATTACGTCAAGATTTATTTTCAACATTTGAATATAACATGAAAAATATAGTATTTTTATTTATTTAGATTTATTAATCTATGTTATATTTGCATGAAAAACACGACAGTTAGTAACAGATTGTTAGTAACAGGTTGTTAAACATTTAGTTAATCATATTTCAAGCAGATATAAGCATCAGTTTAGATAAGATCAAAAATAATCGGCATTGTCATTTTGACAAAATATGTCAACAACGTCACACGTGTACATTCAAATCGATGTAAATGTCAGTTTAAATAAGAGATCAGTATTGTTACTTTAACGAGATATATCAGAAGCACCGTCACTTTAACAAAACACATCAAGAATACCAGACGTGCATTCTCTAATGTAAGTAATTACACATTTAATCACATTTTTATTTTGTAGATTCATTATTATAAAATACTTAAATTTTATAATTATTATATATTTAGTTTGGAAGATGGGAAAATTTCAACGTGATCTAGGTATTGCGCTAATACTTTATTTCGGATTAATTACAACATTAGGAACATGTATTCTACAATCTCAAGGCACGAAGTTACGATTAGTGAGCGCGGTATGATGTGAAAACTAATGTTCTTCAAAAAAGATTTCTCCTAAAATACTCAAGATCAACGAAATGTTAAAATTTTCAGATATTCAGACATGGCGATCGTACAGTAGAGCCTAACGTTGGTGAATCTTATCCAAATGATCCATATAAAGATTATGATTACTATCCAGATGGCAATGGTCAATTAACTAATGTAAGATATATTTTACTTATATATTACATAACATATTATATTTCATTTTTAATCTTTATATTGTTAGTAAACATACAAATTTACATATACATAGTAAATATACATAGTTACATATTTAAAATTTTCAAAAAACAATTACCATTAAAACAATTTTGGACATGAATTTTCATTAATGTAATGCGTCTAAATAAACATATCTGTAACAATGAAAAGATCGATTCTTTTTGTTCACGTGGAAGATATTATTGCTTTCTACATATTCTTAAATCTTCGTTTCTCCGAAAAAGAAATTAACAATAAATTACATCTTATTTTTTTCTTATTTATTAATAATGTTATTTATGTTTATTTATTAATAATGTTATTAAGGACGGCAAGAAGAGAGCATATAAGTTAGGATTAACATTAAGAAATAGATACAACAGTTTTCTCGGAAATATATACTATCAGCCAAATATCTACGCACAGAGCACGATGGTCGTTAGGACTAAGACGAGTTTACAGGTAATTTTCGCGGCACTTTATCCACCTGCTGCTCTACAAGAATGGAATCCGCTGCTTCTTTGGCAACCAGTGGATTTCACGTACACTAATATAACTCACGATGAGCTATTGTTTCCATATGTATGCCCTGTGTAAGTAATTATTTTTTCTTCATCAATTAATAACAATAATCGTATATATATCTCAGATAACATAATCTCAGACAACATGTTTAATTATATTAATGTGTAAGAATTGTAACAAATTAATAAAGAAATTATACATGTAAATCAAACATAATTAATAGAATCTAAATAAACATGTATAATAATTCTCTTCTCTTCTCTTATCGAAACATTTTAAATGTTTATATTTTAGTATAATTATATAGATATTACATATGGGATAATTATTTTAACTCAATCATAACAATTAAAATTTTTCGATGTTATGTTCTAAAAAAATTATATAAATGTTATATTTATATATAAAGATTATGTTACATAAACTTTATCACATAAATAGTATTATAATTATTTAATTATTTCTTTTCTTGAAAATATTTCTTCAAACTATTTCAAGTATTTTAAACTATTTGCGCATTTCTTTTTAGATATCTCCAACTTTATAATGACATGTTACAAAATAATGTAGCAATAAAAAAAAAAGTAGCAGAATTTGCTGATTTAATGAAAAAAGTATCAATTTATACAGGAAAAAATATGACGACAATCTATGATCTCTATTCTATATATCAAACTTTGGAAGCAGAAGCAGCTTTTGGACTACGTTTACCAGAGTGGACGCAAAGCTTATTTCCAAATGGCGCACTTATGAATGCCACTATTTTACACTATGATCTATTTAGTTACGGCATACTAAAAACACTCAATGGAGGTATGCTTGAATCAAAAATATATATTTTACTTATAAATTATCTATTAAAGAGTTTTAAATATTAATCTTCCATTAAATATTATATATTTTGATTATATAAATAGTATTCAGCTATAAATTCACTCATTCTATTCCCTTTCATTTCTCTGTAATTAATATAACAATAAAAGTGTTACAAATATAATCGCTTTTAACATCATAAATCTTTAAAAAAAGTTATTTTTACCGAAATATGTTTTAAATATGCAAGAAATATATTATTTCTGTTGTAAATAACAGCATTCTAAAAATCGTTACCGTTTTAGATCTTTAGAATACATAGTATAACAAATAAAATTTGATTAAGAAGAAAATTGTATTTATTATTTTATAAATTAGTTTATTACTACATACAAGATTGGTGCAAATTTTGATTGTATTATCTAATGTAAAGCGGTCATATACGTTGACAAAAATCATACCTATGTGCGTCTGTGTGTGCGTTATGTATTTTTATATTTTTTAAACTATTCATGCGATTTTTTTACAGGTCCATTATTACGCAAAATAATTAACGATATGAATGCAATGATCAATGGAACTTTAAAAGATCGAAAGCTCAATCTCTTTTCTGGACATGATGCTGATGTGGCCGGAATAATGTACGCTTTAAATATATTCGATGAGCAAGTTGTACGGTATACGAGCAGTATTATGATAGAATTGCATGAAAAGAATGGTGAATTTTTTGTTAAAGTAAGTGTCTAATTTCTCGTGAGTTAGTAATACGTGCCTGCCAGTAGCGTGTGATAATACGAATAATGTTTATCATTAATGTCTACAACTAATAAATGAAACTTATTTCTTGTAGGTAGTCCATTATTTAGGCATTCCATCAACAATAATAGAAAAATGCATCCCCGGCTGCGAAATATTATGCCCATACAATAAATTCATTCAATTAATATCGGCAGTAACTGCGACGAACGAAGAATTGAAATGCTCATAGTACACATAGAATAGTGCATAGAATAAATTACATTGCGATCCTGATATGTCATTAGTTCTTACTTATTTTTATTCAATATTCTACAATAATTATATTAGAATTTTATATAAAACTAGTAATATGTCTCTTCCTCTCTCTCTCTTCTCTTCTCTTACCTATAAATTATTTATAAAACTTATAAATATTAAAATCAATATATCAAGATCAAAGTATCCAGTTTTTGGTTCTCTGAAGATATAAAATTTTATTTTTCATTATCTTTTACAATCGACCAGCACTTACTTTTCGATACCTCTTTTGCATTTTTATGTGTCTATATAATATTACGAATGAAAACAAGAAAATATTTTGCTAAATAAATACAATAGATATCATGCAAAAAGTTTAGAATAAAATTTCACACAAAATAATCGTTCTTTTCTTACAATTAGTGCAGTGATATTATCCAGAACCAAATACATATATTTATATTTAGATTTGTTATTTTGTAATATTTAAATATAAGCTTCCTGTTCTTAGTTATGAAATACATTAAATAATAAAAAAAAAAAATATAATCAAACAATATGTTCAGTTATTTTTGCCTTGAAGTCAAAGTCTACTATTATCCGTATTCTTCATGTAATCGTCGCTTGTTAATGATACAAATGTATTTTTTTTTTAATATACCAGTGTTGCATTAAATTAGTATAATTATGTTAGCCTCTGTCTCTGATGATGTGAGAGTCACATCACTTATCTGATGGCTTAATACAGTTTTCCAGATCTTAATACAGTTTACGATTTAATTTTCCAGAAAGGCAAAAAGTAGTGTGTATTGCTTCAGGCAATTATATAATTTCTTATCAATTTTTTCTTTCTCAAAATGTAAAATTTACAAAATGTAAAATTACAAAATGTAAAATTTGTTCTTATTTTTTCTTTATTATTTCTTCGAATTAATAATTATTAATTATTGATTAATTATTAATAATCAATAATTATTTCTTGTAATTAATAATTTTATGTTGCATGTTAATAAACTATACATTCACATACATACCCATACATATATATACATATACATACAAACACAGATATATATATATATATATATATATATATATATATATATGTTCTTTATCATTTTATATATATATATATATATATATATATATATATGTTCTTTATCAATTTATATATATATATATATATATATATATATGTATTGTACATATCACATATATTTAAATTTTAGTCATTTTTTCATTTTTTTGCAGTTTCTAATCAATATAAACAATGAGACATATAATAAATAATATTAATAACTTCCTTTTTTTATATTATTTTATTTCTTAGGTAAAAATGTCAGACAATTAAAAAATTACATAGAATTATCAAAATTTAATTACAAAATTTAAATATAACATATGAAAAATATAGTATTTTTATTTATTTAGATTTATTAATCTATGTTATATTTGCATGAAAAACACGACAGTTGGTAACAGGTTGTTAAACATTTACTTAATCATATTTCAAGCAGATATAAGCATCAATTTAGATAAGATCAAAAACGATCGACATTGTCATTTTGAGAAAATATGTCAAGAACGTCAGACGTTCACATAGATGTAAAGTCAGTTTAAAGTGATCAACATTGTTACTTTAACGAGATATATCAAAAGTAATTAGCACTGTCATTTTAACAAAATACATCAAGAATACCAGACGTGCATTTTCTAATGTAAGTAATTACACATTAATCACATTTTTATTTTCTAGATTCATTATTATAAAATACTTAAATTTCATAATTATTATATATTTAGTTTGGAAGATGAACAAATTTCAACGTGATCTAGGTATTGCGATAATACTTTGTTTCGGTTTATTTACAACATTAGGAAAATGTATTCTACAATCTCAAGGCACAAAGTTACGATTAGTGAGCGCGGTATGATGTGAAAACTAATGTTCTGCAAAAAAGATTTCTCCTAAAATACTCGAGATCAACGAAATATTGAAATTTTCAGATATTCAGACATGGCGATCGTACAGTAGATCCTAACGTTGATGAATCTTATCCAAATGATCCATATAAAGATTATGATTACTATCCAGATGGCAATGGTCAATTAACTAATGTAATATATGATATATTTCACTTGTACATTATATTACATTTTTAATTTTTTCATTGTTAATAAGTATGTTACATATTTATAATTTTCAGTAAACAAAAATTACAAAAATTAAGATAATTTTCCTCAAGATTTCTCATCGATTTACATTTACTACATCAATTTAAATACAGTTAGATAAACACATCTGTAATAATGAAGAGATTGATTTTTCTTATTTCTTTGTTTTTGCATAAAAGATATTATTGCTTCATTCTCAAATCTTTGTTTCACTAAAAGAGAAATTAATAATAAATTATGTTTTATTTTTATCTTATTATTTATATTTATTAATAATGTTATTAAGGCCGGCAAGAAGAGAGCATATAAATTTGGATTAACATTAGGAAATAGATACAACAGTTTTCTCGGAAATGTATACTATCAGCCAAATATCTACGCACAAAGTACGGTATTCGTCAGGACGAAGATGAGCTTACAGGTAATTTTCACGGCACTTTATCCACCTGCTGCTCTGCAAAAGTGGAATCCGCTGCTGCTTTGGCAACCAATGGATTTCGATTATACTAATATGACTCACGATGAACTAATGCTGCCAATACAGTGTCCTATGTAAGTAATCCTTTTTTCTTTACCAATTATATAATAACAATAAGTCGTACATCTCAAGTAACATAATGTTTAATTATATTAATGTAAAAATAAATTTTAACAAATTAATGAAAAAATATATGCAAGCCAAACGTAATTTATAGAATTTATACAAATATGTATAATAATTTTTTTCTCTTATCAAAACATTTCGAACATTTATATTTTAACAATTATACATATATAGGTGATACAGATTAATTATTATAATTATATTATTTAATTATGGCATTTTTAAGACTTCTCAGCGTTATATTTTTAAAAAGTGCTATATTTTAAGATTATGTTATATAAATTTTATCGTAAATAATATTATAATTATAATAGTATTAATTATTTCTCTTCTTGAAATTATTTCTTTAAACTATTTCACGTATTTTAAACTATTTGCACATTTCGTTTTAGATATTTCCAACTTTATAATGACATGCTACAAAATAATGTAATAATTAAAAAAAAAGTAGCAGAGTTTGCTGATATAATGAAAAAAGTATCGATCTACACTGGAAAAAATATAACGAGAATCTTTGAGCTCCATCATATATATCAGACTTTGGAAGCAGAAGCAGCTTTTGGACTACGTTTACCAGAGTGGACGCAAAGCTTATTTCCAAATGGCGCACTTATGGATGCCGCTCTTTTACAATATAAACTACTTAGTTACGGCATACTAAATAAAATTAATGGAGGTATGCTTGAATCAAAAACCTATATTTTACTTATAAATTACTTATTACGTTTCGAAGTTTAATCTTTGATTAAATATTATATATTTTGATTACTTATAGCATTCATCTATAAATTCACTTGTTCTATTTCCTCAAATTTCTCTGGAATCAATATAACAATAAAAATATAATAATAAAAATAATTTTAATGTTATTAGTCTTTAAAAACAATTATTTTTATTATGTTATTTTTATTTTTATTATGTTTTCAATATGTTTTAAATATGCGAGAAATATATTGTTTCTGTAAATAAAAGCATTTTGAATTATTGTTTTAGATTTCTAGAATATAGGTAATTCAGTAAATTCTGACTAAGAAAAAAAGTTGAATGTATTTTATAAATTATTTTGTTATTACATAAAAGATTGGCGCACATCTTGATTGTGTGTTATCTAATATAAAACGTTTATATACATTAACAAATATATCTGTATATGTGTGTCTGTCTATGTGTGTTTATATTTATGTATTTTATGTATTTTTGTGTATTTTTATATTTTTAAAAATTTTTATGAAATACTCAACAAGATGCGATTTTTTTTACAGGTGTATTATTACGCAGAATAATTAACGATATGAATGAAGTAATCAATGGAACTTTAAAAGATCGAAAGCTCAATCTCTTTTCTGGACATGATATTAATGTGGCTGGAATAATGTACGCTTTAAATATCTCCGATGAGCATGTTTCACGGTACACGAGCAGTATTATGATAGAATTGCATGAAAAGAATGGCGAATTTTTTGTTAAAGTAAATGTCTAATTTCTCGTCTGTCAATAACATGTGCGACGAATAATATTTGTCACTAACGTCTAACAACTAACAAATGTAACTAATTATTTCTTATAGGTGATACATTATTTAGGCATTCCATCAACAATAATAGAAAAATGCATCCCAGGCTGCGAAATATTATGTCCATATGATAAATTCATACAATTAACATCGGCATCAACTGCGACGAACGATGAATTGGAATGTCCAGAATTATTGCGCACTACTTTTAATTTTTGACGATTTGATTTCTGATTGTTCTTGTTAATTTTTTCACGATAATTCGTGTGTGTTACATTTAACGAAATATCTAAAAAAGTTAGAGATTTTAATCAATTATATATATAGTGATCGTTTCTCTTTTTTTACAAAAAAAATATTTAATTTACATAAGTTTAAAACAGAAGTAAAGTTAACCAAGTTAATATGTTTTAGATAAACGGAAATACCGCGTATATAGTTTTAGCTTTTCATTATTATCAATTCGATCTTATTTAAACCAAATAATTTATAAAAAAAAAATAAAATAAAATAATAATTTGATACTCTCTTTAATCTTACACAGTACGTAAGAAGTATTATGAGAATGCCATCCCGTGTCGGGCAAGACAGCGGATTTTTATTACATTTTTCTCATTATTATCCGATATCGCGTACTGTTGAAAACTAGATGCCCATACGATCGCGGAAAGTTAAGTTCGTTAAGTATGCCCAGAGCCGTGTCTTATCGAAGACACGGAGCTCAGATCCTCCGCCTACCGTGCCGTAGCATAACAATTACCCTATTATTTCGCACACACTCTCAGGTGTATAGCAATTCGCCGTTGAGCCTATACACCGCATATTTCCGTTCCGCGATACATCCCCAACTTCTATTAAGGTTAAATCTTTTCGACCATCGCGTAAGCAGATATCAGCGCTAAAGTTTAATTTGTACGTCTATGTTATTACCAATTACGTCGGTACGAATATTTACTTTATGTGATTGCACGTAAATGATCAATTTTTATCCAAGTATATACTTATTACTGGAAAAGCTTTTTCTTAAAAAAATACACTGAGCGTAATTTAGCATGTAATAAAATATAATATATCATGTAATAAAATAAAATAAAGAGAGAGATAAAAATATTCTTTATTAAGAATTTTTTTCCAGCAGTATTATCCGTTGTGCTTTTGCTTGTGGCTGTTATAAATCTAAAATTAATTAATTTTTATTTTTATTTATAAATTAAGGAAACTGCTTCTGCTTAATTAAAAAAAATTCCAATGATATATTTTTGTAAGATAGAAATGTTATCGAAAACAATGTTGTAGCATAGCATGTTCTTTCAATTTTAAAAATCATCGCGAAACTCATCGCTAAAAGAACACGAGGTTTCAGCTATTGCAAAGAAAGTTCGTCTTTCTTTTTCCCTTTTCTTTCGTGCCGGACCATCCTTTTCTGTTACCCCTTTTTCTCTCCTGTAATCCTTCCCTCGCTCCATCGGGATAAACTCTTGAAATTTCCGAGAGTTGCCCGGATGAGAAGAACCAGTTCCGCACTCCTAATTCTGCGGAATTAAACTCGTGAAATCGTTCTAATTGCGGATACAAGAGCATCGGGGCACTTGCATTGAATCGAGTTGTATCGTACTTTTACGATGCGATACTGCGATTGAATTAATCATCGCTCAATTTCCGATACAAAATGCTGTTGAATCGTACTATATTTCGAACGTCGACAGCTCTAATTTATAACTAATGAAAATATACGTTAATTTATCATACGCAAAATACAAATATTTCCAAAAGATTCCACAGTCAATTTTTTAATATCTTTATGATCCATAAATTAAGGCTTGAAATTTCAAATTAAAGCACGAAACTTTAAATCCGCAAAAGTTAAAGTAAAGTCTGATTAAATGAGAAATAGTCTTATTCATTATTTGCACTCCTTTGAAGTTTAGTTTTTAAAATCATCCATTTTTAATATTATAACTTAAAATTCTCGTCGTTTTTATTCTTTTCAAGTAGAAGTCGAAGACACTGAATTTAGCTAAAAATCCATAGATAAAGGGTAGTTTGCTCGCTCCGAGATATCCTGTATGGTATAAAGTATAAAATTTCGCAAAGTATGTAGTAAGTAGTTTAAACTTTAAAGTTTGAAAGCAATACAGTAAAGAAGATACGCGCTTTCGATAAGTCTCGATTACAAGAATTCCGCTACTTAATATGCAATTATCTACTAAAATTAGCTGATGAAGAATTAATCCTTTTTTATAATCAATTTCTATGACCTTTCCTTCTCCCTCCTCTAAAATAAAGTTACATAAGGAACGATAAATTCCTTTTTAAATGTAAAGAATGAAAAAATTACATATCTGAAGCATTTCTGAAATTTGCAATTTGTCGAGGAATGCAAAATTTGTCGAAAAAAATTGATCTTGCGAAAGTTAGCTTGAAAATGCACGATTTAATTGAACATTCGTAATAATTTGTCTGCGCGAGTGGGTGCAAACTCTGCGGTAGCGTTCGCGTGCGATTCGTCGGTGGCAAGGAATTAGCACGAGCTGTCGAGTAGACAATACGGAATTAATTATAATTAACTGCCATTCACAAAAGTTTCCGCGAACAATTTTGTGGTCGCACCATACCCGGTTATAATGAACTCTCTCCTAGCAGCTCCTATCATTTACATACTCTTACATTCAAACTGGATTTTCGTTTGGCTGCCGCGCACGCTAGTTCGCGACAACCTCAAGAAACTTCTTTAAATTATGCCCTTTGGAATATACCTTTAGTATGACGTAGAATATGGCATTTGTTGAGAACTTCTCGCCAAGTTGAAGAAATATTGTTGCAACATCGTAAAAATGTAGACGACTGATTCTTATCGCCATAATGGAGATTAGATATTTCGAAAAGGAAGAAAGTCTAAAGAATTCAAGAATTAAAATATAGAAAATTTTTATCGCGCGTGCACGTATATGTGTGTGCGAAAGATTAGTTTAAATATTTAGTATATCTCAGAATTTGAACATTTCAGGACCTCGCATATGTCGATTAATTTTGCTATAAACTTACAAAAAATTTTCAATTAATCCTCTTTTGACTACTATTGTTTTCTAAATTCTTATGAATAAAATAATTAAAATAATTAAAAATAATAAAATAATTTAAAAAATTTTAAATAAGTCATAAGAAAATTCTTTTAATTAATAGTTTTTTATATATTACATTCATGATACGCCATATGTCTATGTAATAATAAATGAAAATGCATGAAAAGATTTAAAAATAATAATGTAAATAATATTAATCATGCTGTTATTAAACAATTTTATTATTGACAGCATGAATTAATTATAATTAACTTGTTGTATAAATTTTTAATTTTTTAAATATATTTTTCTATATATATTAATAATTTTAATGATTAATACTTTTATACTTTCGCGCGTATCGTCTTCATCGCAGGTTTTTCTCATTTCAAGAACTAAGCCAGCCATGTGGCCCTCATATTTACGACTTTGTCCTATATATAATGATGTTTCCCATATGACTTTATCACGTTAATCAATTTCGCACAAAAGCTCGTAACATCATGCTGTCAGTTATCATTATAGAAAATAAAGAATATTCGCACTCAAACACGTAAAAAACATTAAGAATATAATTTTTTCCACTCGCATCAATAAAGCCGAAATTATTGAAATAAATTTTGAATCGAATGATACTTAATTTGCAAATAATAAAATTTCTTATTTTTTATTCAAAATATTACTTTATATTAAATAATAAAAGTTCTCATTTTTTATTCAAAATATTATTTGCATATTTTAAAATTATATTAAATTTGAACAACATATTTAAAAAAAATTTTATGATAAAATACACTAAAAGAGATATTAATTTTTTATTTTTATGCCATAATTTGAAAAATTTTATGTCAATAAATTTATAAAACTTTAAAAAATGAACACTTATAAATGTCTTGTGTGCACATGTTTGTATATACACGCATATGAATGTTATATCAGAAAATGTAAGTGTTACACATTCGGCTGACGTTTAGTAGTGCATTATCAGTTCGCTTCGCGCTCATAGGAAACCGCAATTTCCACAAATTACACGGATGAAAACTGACTCTTGCGACTGTACACCATCGGCTACAGCGCGGTGGAATTCATGGGTCGCGGGTTATGCCGCATTCGGTGGTATGTAGTAATTAGCAACATTGCTCCCAGATCTCTCGTGGATGGGAGGATCAGGCTGTAGGATCTGGTGGAGGGGTGCGGAGGCCGGCGAATCCGCTTGCACAGATTTCATTTCGAAGGAATAGAACGCATAGAGCAGCGATATTATCTTGCCAGTATGTATTGTGACTATGACGTTTAATGATCGGATAGTCGAGATAACGGAAGTCATCGCGAGTCAAAACAAAAGTGATTCGAAAATAATAATTCGAACCTACTCTATTCTAGACACAGAATTTTTAGTAAAATCTGTATAAAAATTATCGTAATGTTAATAAGATTTAAGACTTGAAAAAGCATGTGCATTAATAGCAATTAATTTTTAAACACTCGTGTATTAGTAATTTTAGTAATTAATAATAAGAAATAATAAAATTAGTAATTAATAAATAATAATCAATAAGAAATAATAAAAAATAATAAAGAAATAATAAGAATAAATAGTAATTATAAAAAAAAAATAAAAATATTTTTATTATAGGTCTTTCGAATTTATAATCATTTTTTATTATAATAATCTAATTGTAAATCATATAAAAATCTGAAATTTTACATTTAATAAATACAAACGATTAATTGTTTTATTGTTATCTTTAAATTTTTTTATTGTCAAGCATTCCTTCATTCTTTATATTCAATAAGCAGAATATTAAAATTCATTAACTACTGAAAAGATATTACTGCGTACTATTCGTGCTTAATCGATATAAACATATTGTATTAATACGTTATAAACCGTCAGTTAAAGTGTAATTATTAAAGACTACATTTCATTATGATTTTTCTTCCGTATGATAAAGTGTCTAAGATATGCAATACTCTGTGAGTTTTGCTTTGCAAGTCTTCCCTATCTAAGTTTATTAAAGCGCTGTGCAGCTGTAGTTGAATTATCGCTGGAGTTTCCCATTTCAGGTAACCGGCAAAAAGTGCACGGAGCGAGAGACGAAACAATTTGACCGTCTTATTCGAATCTGCTCTTTCTCCTCTAGGATATCTATAACACGTCGAGAGACTAACTTTCGCCGGAACTCGCACCCTCCTTAAGCTAATGTACCTTAACAACGATCATTATGTAAATTCAAGTCTGATAGAGGGAGATAGAGTACTCGAATTTACAGCTGTTGACTATAACGCGAGCGAAACTTTTTCGCAGAATTGATCGATTCATTTATCAGTATACACCCGGTATCTGTTCACATCCCCCTCCTCACAATAGTAGAATTTAGAAACAAGTTTCATATCCTGCAAACATTTATCAAAAATATTTACAAATATATCAATAATATATCATAATAATATTTCAGAAATATAATAATTGAAGAATTCATTTTCAAACTGTTTTAATTTTGAATACAATAAGAATTTTTGAAATCTCTCTCTCTCTCTCCCTCTCTCTCCCCCCTCTCTCCCCCTCCCCCTCCCTCTTTCTTTCTCTGCAATATATTTTTTTCAAATATCTTTATTTAAATCGATTTTCTGTTTTCTAAGTAATTCTTTATTAAAATATCTTTTTCACGTACATAGTATTTAATTTAAAATTGAAGTTTTCTGCTATCGATCAGATTTTTACGAACCTTTATTTGCTAAAGTAACGTATGCGCTTTTAAAGACTAAGATTTTTATATTAAGAAAAACGGAGGTGTAAATTTTCGCAGCTCCATGACGTTAATATAATGTATAGTCTAAGTTCTCTACAAAATGTACGAGCAAGGCACGGAAAGAAGCACTTCGCAATCAGAAAATCTCACTTTTTCATTTCATAGGAATAAACTCACCGAGATGGCGGCGATCCCATTCCCGCGCGGAACTGCGTGCTGCGTGTGCGTATGTCCGTGGACAGAGTTGCGAATCTCGTTATCCATTCGCCTCGATCTACAAAACGATAGGGACAAAAATGTAACACTGTCAGACAATACGCTCGATTCGAGTTTGCAATTGAGAAAACTTTTCGCGCTAATGAAATTTCTTCGCGAGGAAACTTTGGCGGGAAAGTAATGGACACTACTGCCGCTGCGAAGCCGCGTGAAGTGAATTGCAAACGATAAAAGGAATGAGACACAAATGACATTTACCCTTGGCCTCTCCCTCTTTTCCTCTTCCACACTTTTACACTATACCACTATACAAATACGTGTCTTAAGTCGTAATAATAATTATTATTACAATTTCTTGTACAAGCACACACACTTTCAAGCACTCGAGAGGGTTCCGAAGGAACGAATGACTGCGCATGCGCGTGCACATGCGCGGCCGCTTGGAGGTACGCATGCGCATGCACATGCGCGGATGCTTGCGGGTACGCATGCGCATCGCACGCCAGGCTGACTGTAGTTCGTTTTTGCTAGTTCTTACGGTATGCGTGATACGTAACCTCTTCTCTCTAAAGCGTGAAATATATTTGTTTAATTTTAAATATAAAAAGCATAAAATACGTATTATACGTATTATACGTAGAAAAAACAAATTTCGTTTTAAATGCACAAAATACAAAGAGTGTGTGCGATATAAAATAATGTGATAAGTCTAAAAAGATTTGAAACCATTTACAGATATCCACTATTATTATACTTTTCTATTTCTTTACAGGTTTATCTCTTGCTGTCTACTCAGGCTACTCTCTATTTTATCAACGTGATTGAAGTACCATGACTGAAGTAAATTCTGAAATCTCAGATTTGCAGGATATATCCACTCCTTTTGGTATACCGTTGTCTGGAGCATATAAACGGTAATTCTAGAGATTGTGCTTTATTGTTTTAATCTGACTTTTTGCTTATCATTGTTATCAAGACCTTACTGACCTGTGGAACAGAATGATATGCAATATTTTTTCTTTATGTTGCAGAAGTTACGCTTATGTATCAATTAAGGATAGAATGCCAATAATATTAACAAAAGTCATTGACACAATTTGTCAAAAAAAGAATGAAATTATATATATGTATGGTCAGGTAATTTTATCCAGGCAATATCACAATACTCCATCATCTCGATACAATATGCAATATTAATCATTATAGGATGCAGCAAATGATATCAAAAATATCATAGGATTTATAAGTCGACTGAAAAATGAAATAGTTACTAATAAGACTTTGAAACCCATGCGTTTAAATACTAAAGCAATTAGTAATGATGCAGAGGAATGGAATACATATTTGGAAAATAAGACGCAAGTAGAAAGTGGAATACCTACATGGTTTAATACAACATGGTTATATTGTGAAACATATATGTACCGTATACTAGCTCAAGAAATTGGTTTAACGTAAGATTTGATGTACTATGTATGACATAAATTCATATAGAGCAAGCTAAAAAATCTTTTTCCAAAACTAGGAGTAGCATACAAAGTTATGATCCATTTGAATATATAAAACAAGCTGCTTTTGTTAACTGCATTGATTCTATGAATATTCTTGCCTCATATGTAAATGACATAGTATGTAATAAGGAATACAATAAGGAAAACTCAAAGAATGATTTTTCAAGATTATTAAAATTGAGTTTATGGGGTAATAGGTAACAATATATTTTATATTTTACTTTTTCTGAAAAGTCACTTCACAAACAATAATATATTATTATGTTTGCAGATATGATCTATCTGCAAGTGTAGGATCTCTTCAAGAACATACCAATAATGTACTGAATATGGCAGACTCTTTGGATGAAAATATATTAGTAAACAATTGGGAACTTGTGTGGAATATTGTAAAAGAAAAAACAAATAAAAGAGTTGATAATATTCATATAGTGTTGGATAATGCAGGATGTGAATTCTTCTCTGACTTATGTTTGGCAGCATTTTTGGTTACTATTGCACCTGCAACTAAGATAACATTTCATGTAAAAGCATATCCATGGTATGTGAGTGACACAACGGTTCAAGATTTCCACTGGACATTAGATCACTTGAATAGTCTTGATCATTACCCAAATATGAAATTAATGGGTAAAAAATTCAGAAATTTTATGGATCGTGAAATTTGGTGTATTAAGGTAATTTTTATCCTCCAATATCATTATTAATAATTAAATTATTATTTAAAAGATTCTCTTTACTAAATATAATTTAAATCATTTCTAAACAGGCAGAGCCTTATTGGACAGGACCATACGATTTTAGGCAAATGAAAGAAAAAGACAAAAAGTTATATGCTCAATTTTCTGATGCTAAATTAGTAATATTTAAGGGTGATTTAAATTATAGAAAACTCCTAAGTGACATTAATTTCGAGTATAACACAAATTTTGCAACTGCATTGGGAGATTTTCGACCCACAAATATTTTAAGTATACGCACTTTAAAATCTGATATTTGTGTTGGATTATCACAAGGTATGGTTGAATCGCTATTTGAAAAAAATAAAGATTGGTTGATAACTGGAGAATATGGTCTTATTCAAATTGCTGTTAGTTTAGAAGTTCCTGAAGAATCTTAAATTTTTTTTATGGAAAAATTCGAATTATATAATCATACATAATTACTTATATGTTATACAAAAAATAATATACAGAATAAGCGTTATGTACATATATAAAGGATAATATATTTGATATCCAAACAACTTTTGTATTTATATTTATTACACCTCTATTTTTTTATGTAATTTTGTGCCATATTCTTTTATTAATTTTATGATCTGTTATAACTTGTATAAATTTCTATATATGTACATAAATAAAATCTATATCTAATTAATTTCTCTACTATTGTCTTATAAGTATCTTAAACTAAAATTTCGTATTTTGTTGACTGCTAATATACATAATTAACCATCTGTTGATCAAATTTTCCTAGATAGTTAAAAAAATACTACAGATTTACATTGAATTATACAGCACATATTGATAAAAATAGTAAAACTAATTTTATATATATATAATATTTATAATTTGTCAGTATAATAGTAATTATCTATGGATGTATTTTTACACGCACATTTATATGTGAGTTAAAAATGATTCTGAAACCATAAAGATTTTTTATCTCATCCACATTATAATTAAGTAATAGACCTTTATAGAATTGTTTGAAATAATCATGGTTCGTTTATGATTCTTTCTCTTTCTCCAATATTGATTGTTTTATTTAATAAAATGTGATACACCTTTTGTATGAATTGTTATGCAGCAAAAAATACAGTTCATGTTATGTTACATTATGATCGAATGAAACCACATTTTTCTATTTTTCTATACTGCGCACATAAAAAAAATGTTTAATTGAAAGTAATAAATATTTCATATTTCTTGTTTATTGGAAACAATCAGTGATATATTACATATGTATGTGCACAAAATTATGAAGCAAATCCAGATATATAGAGAAATATAACTATATTTATAAAAGTATTCAAATATATATAAAATTAAATTTGTTTTGATTTAAATAATTTAATATTAATAAAATTCGATTAAGTGTAATAAATTTCACATATCTATATAAAATTATAAATAAAAAAAACTGCAAAATATGAGATGAAGAGTTGCATCTTGTTATTATTGAGTACCACATTTACATCTGTATAAGAGTACAACGATTAGTAGCCAGTTTCTCAAAACAGATTATTAGATATTAGAATTAGATATTTGTGCCAAAAACTAGTTATATTGAAAATTTTTTTATTTCCAAATTTTTTATAAAACAAATTTAAATACAAAACTGTATCTCCCATTTAAAAAACTGTAATTATAACAATGACATATGCATTATAGCTGATAGAATTTAAAAGATTTCTCAGTAGATCTTTGCCCACTAGATGCAAATATTTATTTTATCATTATTGTATAAAACATTATATAATTCTGCTCTAATTAAGCAGAATTTATCTCGTCACGTATTTGACTCTTCATGCCAAAATATCATGAAAGAAAAGAATATTTTACCAAGTGGTAATAGAGCATCCAAAGATTCATTTCTCTTCAGATTTTAAAATTAAATACAATAAAGAAAATTCACATATAACATAAAAAAATGAAACCAATTTAATTATTTACTAATATATTAAATTGTAAAGACAGGAATAACAATTATAATAGAAATAGTAATAATAATTATAATAGTAGCAATAATTATAATAATAGAGATAGTCAAGATAGCACTTATTATATTTCCAGTAAATGTAATCTATACTGGCACATGCTTGCTGAGCAAGCTTCTCAAAATTCAAATATTTCTTTGATATAAAGTAACGCACAGAATGTACAACATTCATAAAAGAATATTTAAACAAGTGAGATATGTATATATATTTTTTTGTATTACTCTTTTATATTTGAATATATATAGAAATGACAAAATCATTATTATAATATCAATATAATTGAATAGCAATACATAAACTGGATTTTGGCTCATATGCAAGATACAAATTAAAATAAAATAGGCGCTATTATAAAAGATGTATTATATAATACTCAAAAATGTTAAAAATTTGATATACTTTTCGATATATTATAATCTAATACCCCTATTTATGATCATCCAATATACGTAATACTAGAGGCATTCAGAAAATAAATGCTAAAATTAAATTGGTATAAAAACAAAAAAATATTTCAAAAAGAATTACTCAAAAATTAATTTCGGTTATACTGACTCCAAGTATTATCATTCGTTCTCGTAAAGATTTGACAAAAGAATTAATTTTATTTCCAATTAAATAGCATTTATTCTTTGAATGCCTCTCTCTTGCATTTTTATTATCTATATACATCATATATATATGTATCTATACAATATTAATAATAGAAAGCAAATGAGAGTAAAGATATGAAGTATTTGAATTTATATTAGAACTACTTTTGTCATACACAGGTAACTACACAAGTCTCTTACATAATATATCTTTTATATGCTCTGCTCTTATAATATATTCCATTCATTAATGAAACCCTAGCCAATAGTAGTTATATCCAACTCTAATCTAATGAATCTTTGCTGAAACAGATAAATTTATTGATAAACTGTTCCATAAGATATTACTTTCACAGTGTTAAATAATTATTTACAAAATTGTTTAAAAATAAATATAGAATGATTCAGATGTCTCTTAAAGTACTCCTGACATATAATATTTCCGGTCATATTTTTTAATAATCACACATATATATACATATCGAGTATGAAAAAGATAATTTAGATAACATTTTGCCTTTAAAAATATCTAAAAAATGCAAAAAATTTATATATTTAAAAAATGAAATATTTTGACTCTTTGGATAGCTTTAAGGCTTCCCATTTATCTTATAAATAGTGTTAACCAATCTTTATTATTAGAAAAGAATTATTTATATTTAGTTAATTATATATATACATATATATAATAAAATTATCATTTATTTAAAAAATTTTGAGTAACATAGAATATATTATTGACAAATAATAATTCGACATGTTTCTGTTTAAATTTGAATACATTACTATTAATACAATCTTTTTACATATTGGAGGATATTTTGAATGATCTGCATGAAGTGAAGATTTATGTAGAAGTAGAAAGAGTGTAAAGAGTTTTTTTTTATAGAATTTATAACATTTAAATGATTATCAGAAAAATGTGACATGTGTTTTATCTAATGTCACATCAGGTCTGTCACATGTAAAATCTTATTTCTATAAGCTTTATGCATATGATGAATTAAAAAAAAAAGTTAATAAGTCTAGAAATCTTTTCAATAGTTAATATCTAAAAATCATTTCTGGAAAAATTGAAAGTGTAGATTAACTGAAATATAAATTTAAAATATATTCAAACAAAAATAATTCGCGCGCACGCGCAGATATAACATAAAAATAGATTCTATATATAAACAAAGAGGCACATGTATATTAAAAAATAGAATTTAAAAAGATATATATATACATATTCATATATTTCAATTATGGCTAACAACATATTTCAATTATTATATATCCAAATTCCTTCAACATACTACCACCTAGTATCCATTTCGAGGCACCCCGCATAGTGTCCCGATCTCACATTGTGTTTAGAAACCGACATATTTGATGGACACTAAGCAAAAAGCATAGAATAAACTTCAGCACAATGTAACTGTTTCTCTCCAAATGGAAATAGCATTATCGAGCACAAAACATACATTCACACTTTTGGACTTGTTACTTCATAATATTTAAATATGAACATTTGTTATTTAACTATATCAAATGTATTAAATAACAATAAATGGAAATGACTGTAATCTTCTAAAAAGAATGGTCTTCTATGTAGTTTGAATACACGTAATTTGGTCTGAATGATCTTTTTTTTTTTTTTGAATTAGAACTAAAAGACATGCAAAATTTGTAATCGTATTATTCACACTAGTATTCGATATTTATTCCATATAATTTACGAGATAAATGTTACTTAGTGAATGCAGCAAATACAGCCCAAAGTACTGGATTCGCGTTACGTTTAGTGGCTTCCGCTTCGAAATCGAGGTCTAATAATGTCCGTACTCTTCGCATCGCTACTTCATAATCATCGTCCGACAATGGCGCAAATGCATTTTCTAATACATCAGCTGCATGAGCTAAAATAACTAATGCTAACGTTCGTCTATCCATACGAGCGGCGTCATTCACCCAACGACCTAACACAGCTTCTTGGATCTGGAAGACAGAAAGGCAACATGCTATCGTGTTATTTATAAATTATATAACAAGCAATTCCTATCAATAGCTTTTCTTGTAAAATATAGAACTCATTTTCATCTTCTATTTCTTCTTTTACTTCTATAATTTTATATTTAATGCTAAAAACTTTCCATAATTAATTATAAACAAGGAGGGATATATTTATAGTGTTGTTATATAATATTATAAATGAAAAATTTTTATATATAAGAGACGTCTTTTCTTCTGTTTTAATAAATAATTTATAAAATAAGCAATTTATTTAGAATTATCCTTGAAAAATATATATTTATATATTTATATAAATAATAATTATTACGTACAGTAAGATAACATTATGCGTATATGTACAATTATATCATTATATATATATATATCGAATTTAATATATGTTATCTTTTCATTTCCACACAGCTTCTAATCAATGTAGGTAATAAAGCATATATAAAGATAAGATATTACCTCCCACATAGATTATAATATAATTTAATATATTTATAATAGAAAGTGTGTCCTCCTTTTCTTTTTTAATAGAATAAATATAAGATAAGCTAATAAAAGTCAAATTTAATTGTTGAAAATAAATTTTATTATGAGCCTAAAAAAATAATATCTCATAAAAATTAATCATATTGAAAAGATGACTTCATTTTTTATCAGTAAGCGTCATTATAAATTATAGCACTTTTCAATAAAATTAATATAAAAAATTTGACAATTGAAAGTTTATTAATCAAAAATACGATTTTTATATTTGAAATTTTGTCTAGCAAAGACTACTTTTGCAGTTTTACAATATGCAATGAACTTTCACAATACCATATTAGCAATTAAATGTTAATACACATAATATATTGTAAAATTAAAATATTCAATATATGAAAAAAACAAACATAAATAATTTTTAATAACAGATTCACAATTAATGAATGATATAATAAACAATTAATTAAATTTTATATATTTTCTAATATAGTATTAATAAATGCTGAAGATTAATAATATTAAAAATAACCACAAGTTATTGTCAGAATTGTGAATAAAAGATAATTGTGGGAGAGAGGACTATATCTAGTATGTAAAATTATAAATCCATAAAGCATTGTAGTTCTTGTATAAATTCTATTAAATCCCACTTCTACATATATCTATACATAAAAGTTATATTCTATTATTATATAATAGAATATTCTATTAGAAAGATATTACTATTTATATTATAATATGTGATATGATCTTCTATTTTTCTATTAAAAAAAATAAAGTTATTTTTTTCTTTAATATGCATATAGTTTATAAGTCTACTATTGCATTCATACATAAGAATGCTATTGTATTCAAACAATAGCATTCAATGCAAAGTAATACATTTTTTTTAAGGTCATATATGATCTATCTTTTTTGGTTTAAGAAATAAAATGGAATAGATATGTGTTTGCCAAATTTTAGAAAGATATTCTATTTAACTCATAGATAAAAAAAAAGATTAGATAATCATAAATAAAAGACTAGCTTTTGAAATTGTAAACATTTTTTTTATCTATAAAAAAATGTTTAGAGAATATCTGGAAAGTTTACCATTAAATAATAATTGTACTTGTGATCCAATAAATTATGTATGTATAAATTATATATAGATAGTGTAATTAGAATGTAATATTATAGAAAAATGGATAATTTACCTTTTTTACGAGACGACTTTTGGCAAGATTATCGGTAAGGGGATGAGTTGTCATATCAAACAGTAAGAAATTTTGTTTCTCTGTAGTTAAGACACCTTTTTCAACAAGATTTTTCGCTAGTCGTTCTCTGACATTTTTCAATTGATATCTTAATTTTAAGGGATTCCATGTTTCCCCTGCAATAACATACAAGGTATTTCGAGACAAGCATTATTATAAGCGTCTTGCTTATAATATATATATATGTATGTGTATAAATAAACTGACCGCTAAGATACTCTATCCAGCTGGGCACAGTCTCAGGTGGATCTGTGTCTCTCAAGTGTTTCAGGGCCTCGTCCAACAACACGTCTCCCGTAGGTGCATCGTTTTTCAAGAGAAGTTTTCTCGCTAGTAGGCTCTTCTTACGCATACCAGCTTTTTCCAATTCTACCCTACCCCGAAAGCCAAGTTCCGCCAAGATACAACCTCTCAGTCCCGAACTTATGCAATCGTTCCAAAAGGAAGTGTATCCCTACGGGAGGAAGGATATAACTAGTCAAGGATGCTGCGCAGAAGACGGAGGAGAACCTCCAAGGACAGAATCTTTAAAAAACACAAATAAACCTCTTTGTCCTTCAAACCGAGCAGCAAGACCTCCTCCATAAGGGTCAGACGCGTCTCCTTATCCGAGTCCTCGTCGATGGTGGGATTACAATTGAGATCCTTCTGGGACGAGCAATCCGTGTCCGGGCTCTGGCCGGACAATTTGTCGTTGTGACCGGTGAAGTCCGCGTTCGCGCCATCCTGGCCGAGTCCGCTGCCCCCACCGCCGCTTCCACCGCTGCTGCTATTGACCACGCGTCGTCGCTGCACCAGCCCGTCACCGCGATTCATCGTGCGATGCAGGTACTAGGACGGGCTGCTCGGAGATACGTCCGCGTGTCGCCAGATACGCCACCGTGTCACCACCGCCGTGATGCGACGTGATGCCCCTCGTCCTCGTCGTCGTCGTCGTCGTCGTTGGCGTCGTCGTCGTCGACGTTCGGTGATCAACCGCAAACGTGATTATTGTGACTATAACAGGCTGGCGCCAACATCTATGTGTACACGGTAAACATTCCGTGCCGTTGACGTTTATTCCAGAGCGACATGTCTTCCAAGATGGCCAATATGCCTCTCGTTCGGCTTTCGCGATTACGCCTCGTGGTGGACTCGGCGCGGCTCGCGACCCGCGATACGATGACCGCGAAGGACACGACGACGGGCAACGGGAAACGCGTTGCGTATTTACGCGTGGAAATTTCAATTCCTCCAACTCTCTAGCTCACGTATGCGTTGCTCGCGTTACGTTACAATCCATTCGCACCGAGCGACTGATACGTCCACGAGAAGTTTATCAATGTAATGTCAGGTCACGCGTGGACTCGGGGTAAATTCGAAACGTCTATTTGGGTCTCGTGTTAATGTTGTTGCGTGTCACGCGAAATTAGGGACAGGATGAATATAATTAATGTATACGTACATACGAGCGACAAGAGCGAATCAGCAAAGTGGAGCGAGTGTCACCAGGAGTCGCGTAAACGGTCCTGCGAATGACAAAAAATGTACTGAAAATTGACGCTTCTGCGACGACGCTAGGGAATATAACGCGGACCAATCGGCGCCCGGATCATATCGGGAGATGATTGGGTATCTCACTTACAAATGCATTGCCGCGTCTTTTGCGTACGTACGCGTGTGATTGAAATAAAATAACGTGTCGGTTGGGAATTCGAAAGAAATTTGTTCATTTGCTCCGGAATCTGTCACGGAAATTTTCCCGGTGATTCATCGTGGGAGAGAGCGTACATAAGGTCTGTCATTATTTTTGTCACTCGATAAGTTCAATTCAAAATATAGATACGTACGTGAGCTCAAACTACAATAATTTCGACGAACTTTAAGCTCCATTTAATTACGAACTCTATTACATTCCCTCGTTATCAATTATAGTAGATATAGCCTTTGTTATCTTTGACATTATCAGCGAATATTCGCTCACATCTGCAAACATATCCAAGTATTTCATGAAAGTTTTATTTAAAACTAAACGTCATTTTACGATTATTATATTACACGTCAGCTTTTATTTTTTTGTATAAAAAATATCTCCACATGTTCTGATTATTGATTGAGAAACAATTCAATTTTTTCAATTAACGTGGTTATGCAGAAAGCGTTTGTACCGATCGGAAAATTTTTGACAAGCGGTAACACGTGTTGTCGAATAAACATGATAGAGGGCGTCAGCTGGCGCTTCTCGCGGTTCCGCTGACAGCAGCGAGAGGAAGAATTGACCAGCGAACAACGCGTTCAGTTCTTCGTGATTACTCGATCGAGTAAGATCGATTTCTGTTCGCTGTCGCGTTCGATTCTGACAATCGCGTACGTCCTAAAAAAAATCACACACGTTACCGGAAATCGCGATATCGTGTCTACTGTGTCCTTTGCGAGAGGAGGAAATAAGGATTGATCGAGAAGGGAAATCGAGATGAGAATGATTCGGCGGATTCCTCATTGAATAGATCATTTTATCGGATCGGCTATCAGGTGAGAGACCGGCGAAAGGAATTTATATGATTACTCTACCGACAATTCGTACTTTTTTTATGATTTACTTATCTTTGAGATCTTAGATAGCGCGATACAAATGACATTTAAATGACTTTTTAATGTCCTCGGAGCTTTCGCTTCGTTTAAAAGCGATATTTATTGTAGATATTCGAATTTTCCATTGCCAAGTAATTGAAGAAAGAATGTCACCTCACGCGCGACATATTCAAAAAATTCTTGAACATATATTTCATTAAATTAAAAAAACTGCGTTTTATCTCGAGAGCAAAATCAGATTTATATATGCGAAGCAGATTTTTTTATATTAAATTATTTACATAAATGTTTAACATTATTAGATTATAAATTTTTTTATAAAATAATCTTGGATAAAAAAAATATTAAATATAATTAATATAAGATATAATTTAATATTAAATATAATTAATATATTATAAGATTTAATTATGTTGATTTTTTATATATTTGAAAGTTTCTTTTGTTTTACTATTTTATATATACAATGTATATAAAATAGAGCATATTAAAAATCTGAAAATAATTTAATTTTATCAAATATAATATACATTTTGTATTTTAACGCTTGAATCATATATAAACTACTTATCTAAAACCTACTCATTCGCATAATGTGGGACACATGATTTATGTACACAGGATCATAAAACTGTTTGTTAAGAAAATATATCTCTGTTGATATGCATGTGATTGACCTATTGACAAGGAAACTTCCAATAAGAATTGATTATTATACATACACACTATTGAATAGCTATTATACATATAAAATAAACAATAGGATTCCATTTATATAAATACGTGTTGTAACAATAACTATTCAATAGTTGTCATAATTAATTATTAATTTCTTTTTAAATAATTATCGTTAATGTTCGACGAAAATAATTTAATCATTCTACTTAGAAATCAATTTAAGGAAAGGCTATAGACAAAGACGACGAATAATAATACCAATGTAATTTAATTACTATCATTAGTCACTATTTGCCATCGAATAAATTAGTTCGACAGAGAAAATTGATTTATAGTTTTCCAACATCGATATTTACATTCTCGATATAAATTTCAACAATTCTATTATTAATTCAATATATATTATTTCGCAACAAAACAATGGAATGAAACGAAGTAACAAACGGAAACACGCCAGTTTCGGATGTTCTAAATAGGTATACGTATATAATAACTGTCATATATACACACAGAGGGTAACACACTTGAGAATTACATCATGATTACACGTTCTTGGCTGACACGATTCTAAATTTCTCACACGAGCTATTATTTCAATCGTAGCCGACATACTCGATTCTCTTGCAACTGAATGCAGTGAATCGTCGTGAATTTGCCGGTTACTCGCGTCTCTTTCCGCCTCCTCTCGGCCCGAAGCTCACAAAAGGGAAACCATGGGATCCCGCCTAATTATATTATTCATTAATTAACTGGGATCGCGCGGGGTACGGTGGTTAACCAACTGTCTTAATGATGTGAACGATGAATTATCGCGATTTATTTCCTTCTTGTACGACGATCTCGCCACAAGATCCAAAAAAAAGATATACGACTCGGCTGTTTTTTTTTTTCTCTTTAAAAACGGCGTTTACTTAGCGCCGCGTCAAGTAGCAGCAAAGTAGTAAAGTAAAACGGATAACACACCTGTGCGCTTGTTTGATTTCACGACATTTGGTTAACGGGCTTCAAATTATACGGTTCCCCGTTGAAGAGATGGAAATACCTGAGTTACCTTGTACGAGTCGCGAGGAATATATTTGTTATTACGTGATCGATGCATGTATTTTACACGTGATTTCTGTGACACTACTTTTTCCATTGAACATATATATATATATATATATATATATATATATATATATATATTAATATGTAGTAATTATATATATAATTATATTATATTAAATAATATATATTATATTAAATATAAATATATATATTAAATTAAATTAAAGTTCTATTTAAGAATTTTAAGAAATTTACTTGGCATTAAGCCACACATTTTTTTTTCTAATTACAACTGAAAAAACGTTGACATTTATTTTATTGAGGAAAAGTTGATTATAAATTGATTATAGATCGTATATGGAACACGTTCATAAATTTGTACAATCACCCGTATACACGATTTTTTTTATTTTCTTTTATTGAACCTATGTATACACTATGTAGTAGGATATTTTAATTAACTGTGAGAGGACTGCCAGTTTTTTTTTCACTTTAATCGAAACGCGATTTGAATCCGTCTTCTGCGTCCGCATTTTTTTTCTTATCGTTTATCTTCCATGTCGATATATAAATTAAATTAAAGTTTCATTCAAGAATTTATTTAGCATTAAGCCGCGCATTTTTTTTCTAATTATAACTGAAAAAAACTTTGACATTCTTATTGAGAAAAAGTTGATTATAAATTGATTATAGGCTGTATATGGAACACCTTCGTAAATTTGTACGATCACCTGTATACGCGATTTTTATGACATTATTTTCTTCCATTGAACCTTCCTTGAATATATATATATATATATATATATATATATATATATATATATATATAGATAGATAGATTATGTAGTAAGATACTTTAATTAATTGTGAGAGGAATACGAGATTTTTTCACTTTAATCAATACGTGACTTGGAACTTCTGCGTCTGCGTTTTGTTCTTATCGTTTTCTGTCATATCTCGATGTATAAGCGTCAAATTGAAGTTCCATTCAAGAACTTTAAGAAATCTACTTATTGTTAGCATTAAGCTTGTAAATTTTTTTCCTAATTACAACTGAAAAAACTTTCAACATTCTTATTGAGGAAAAGTTAATTATAAATGGACTATAAACACGTTTGTAAATTTGTACGACCACCTGTATACGCATATGAATATCTCGCATAAACAGCTTTCGTCTAAATATATCACCGACTTTTATTTTTCACGATTGTTTTCCACAAATGTTCTCTCCTTTGCACATCGATTTTCCATCGGACGACGAACTTATTAATAGCAATTGTGTTCGTTGATACCCGCGTATATATTTCATGAGCGTATATTTTTATCGCGGGAAGAGCATTACGAGACAGACTTGTTTGCGACCAGGAAATGGATTTCGACAGCGTTTTTAACGACATCTCGTAAAATGAGATGTCGATAAACACGCTGCTCTCAGCGTGCAGCGTGTTACGAGGTTACGCCACAAAATTTTATACGTACGTCACATACGAATTTCGAAGCGAGGTATAGTAGTGACACTCGGTAATGAAAAAATACAAACGGTACTTTTTTTTACAATCCTCACCGGAAATACCATCCATTCGAGATAGATGCGAGAAACGGAGGAGATCGGGCGAAGAAAGATCGAATCTTAATAGTAAAAAAATTGTATGTCGTCCATATGTTAAAATTTTCTTGTGTTACCACGTTTTGATTAGTACTTTAATGTAAAATTAACATACAACTTATATGTTATTATTTTTATAACGTTTTCATGTGTTGCATTTATGTCAACTTTGTAACTTAACACTTTGTACATGTCTTTTAGAAATGGAATATTATTTTGAGTATTTTTAACATATCATTTTACAATAATCATTTTAAACAATGTCTCAAAGTCAGTTTAACATTCTAAGAAAAATCTTCAAATAATCTTAAACTTTTACATCCAAAATAATCAAATTTATCAAATGTTTCTATCACAAATAATTTAAGTTAAAATAATTACTATTATATGTTAATGTCCTACAACAATTCTTATGAATTATTGTAACTATTTTTTCAAACTTAATAATTTTTAATTAATTTGTATGTTATTTTTACATTAAATAAGTCACATTAACAAAAATAAACCTAAAGTATTGTGTCAATTATTTAACATTTTTAATTGATCAATAAGTAACATACGACGAATGAGTTAGCTTAAAATTTGGAGTGGACTTTCTGGGACATGTGAAAAATGTTAAAATTAACATTTTATTTTTTTACTGTGTAATAATTTTCTGAGATATACCTCTTCCCAGATATTGAAATTTATTCTTCAATTTTTACTTTCTCTCTTTTTATCTCTATATTGAAACATTGATTAATTTATGATGCCGCTTCGTAGATTGATTCAATCTGCAATTCATTCATTCTACAACTTTAACGCAACGCCTCTCGCGCAAAGAGATTCGTTAAGATAAATTCCTTTCTCTTCGCGCTCGCGTAAGTTTACCGCCTGGTCTTACAATCGGGATATTAATGTTAAAGATTAATTACTTTTTTTTTACACGGATTAAGCGCCGCGAAAAGAGCGCGATATGGAAGGTGCGCGTATCGAATTTGGTTTCGAAGCACGCTCCATAAAACAAAGGAAGAGGGTCTACGAGCGAAAGTACAATGCGGTGTTCATTGAAGATGTAATTTAATAACGTTTCGTCACGGATGACCGATCACTTTCTAGCCGCCTTAATACAGAAAGTATTGTACATTAATGACCGAACGCGAAGGCAAGCTTTTTTACGTCTTCCCTCGCTCTTGAAACGTTTTCTCATCTCGCTGAAAAATTTCGACTTTCGAAACGAAATAGTAGAAAGCGCGGGGTTCGCTCCGAATTTTTCTATCGGGAGGATATACGCGCGTAATACACGTTACATAGCGTACATTACATAGGTTTTTCTCTCGAGGCGAGAAATACCGAACGCGTCGCGTAGATCTCCTCCGGGGCGCAAAATGTTACACACGCGAAACGATGTTAATTATCCGGAACGCAAAACAGGTATCGGCAACGGGCGCACTCGTTACGTTCGAAACTTTCACTCCACGCGCTACTTGAACGATATTATCTTCTCTTTTTTTTTCTTAAATGCGCGTAAGCAACCATAGCGAGCGTACACAGAAAAAAAATAAGTGTCAAATCAAGACTTATTATATACTTAAGCTAACGCGTTCATTGTTTCGTATATACGCAACAA